TTACCTGCTTGGGGTATAGTTTCTAGGGGAAATTACATTCAGAATCCTAATGAAGGGCACCAAGAGTCTCCACTTTTTTTTAATCACACCAAATTTCTCCACTCAGCTTATATGACAATGACAACTAAAAAGTTAAAACTTATTTCTTACTTGCCTTGTTCACTCACATGGGGAGCGCAATCATATTCATGGTCAGGAAAAAGCACTGGATTCTACATAAATGCTAGTTATTATTGTTGTTGTTGCTAGTTGCAGTTATGAAATACCATGTGATTATATTTATTACAAAATAAATAGGGAATGAATAGATTGATAAGGAAGAAGCTGGGGTGCCCTTACGGCACAAGATATTAAAGGTATGGTTAACTAGGGAGTAATAGAAACCAAAGATCAAATGATTACCTCAGTTCCTGTTTCTCTCCAGTCCCAGGACCGACTACCCCCTGGCCATACTTTGCAGTCCTTATAGGTTGTGCTACAATCTTGTACCTTCATTTGACCCCAAGAAAGTGAAGCAATTTTGGGGGAAGACATAATGGAGGTGAATCAAAACCTGAAACAAAGGTCATAGATGTAGTCAGTTGAGGTTTAAGCATATCTAAGAGAATAGAAATAAGCAGCCTACCAAGATCACGAAGCTGAAAGGGACCGGGACCTTAGACATCATCAAGTCTAACCCTTCACTTTACAAATGAGGCCACTGAGGCTCAGAGAGGTTCAATTGTTCAACCTTTATTTTTAATATGATTTTGTTATTTTTAAAATTTACACATTTATTTTCTCCCCTTCCACTCCCCAAGTGAACAAAAAAGGAAAAATAAAAGCTACACAATAAAGACATAGTTAAGCAAAGCAAATCCCCTTTATTAACAATGTCCAAAAATGTATGTCTCATTCTTTTTAATATTTTATTTTTCCCAATTACATGCTGAAACAATTTTTAACATAAAAAAAGTTTTGAGTTCCACATTCTATCCCTCCCTTCCTCTGTCCCTCCCCCCTCCCTGAGATGGTAAGGAATCTGATATGGGTTAAACATGTGCAATTATGCAAAACATTTCCACATTATCCGTTTTGTACAAGAAGACTTGAACAACAAAAGAAAGGAAGGAAGGAAGGAAGGAAGGAAGAAAAATAGTTTGCTTCAGTCTGTATTCAGACAGTATCAATTCTTTCTCTGGAGGGAGATACTATGTATCATTGTGAGTCTTTTGGGATTGTCTTGGATCATTGCACTGCTGAGAATAGCTATGTCATTCACAATTCTTCATCATACAACATTGCTGTTGTGAACAATGTTCTCCTAGTTCTGCTCACTTTACTTTGCATCAGTTCATGTAAGTCTTTTCAGGTTTTCCTGAAATCATCCTGCTTGTCATTTCTTACAGCACAATAATATTTCATCACAATCATATGCCACAGCTTGTTTAGCAATTCCTCAATTTATGGGCATCCCCTAGATTTCCAATTCTTAGCCACCACAAAAAGAGCTGCTATAAATTTTTTTTACAAATGGGTCCTTTTTTTTTTTTTCCGGACCTCTTTGGGATCTAGTAGTAGTATTGCTAGATCAAAGGGTAATGCAGTTTTATAGCCCTTTGAGCATAGTTACAAATTGCTCTCCGGAATGGCTGGATCAGTTCACAACTTCACCAATAGTGCATTAGTGTCCTACTTTTTCCACATCCTCTCCGACATTTATCATTTTCCTTTTTTGTCATATTAGCCAATCTGGTAGGTGTGAGGTAGTACCTCAGAGTTGTTTTAATTTTTTTTAAATTTTTAAATTTTAATTTAAATTTAAATTTTTAAATTTAAATTTAATTAAATCAATAGCGATTTGGAGCATTCTTTCACACGATCATAGATAGTTTTGATTTCTTTGTCTGAAAACTGCCTTATTAGCTTTTGATCATTTATCAATTGTAGAATGACTTGACTTTTATTCTTATAAATTTGACTCAGTTTTCTATATATTTGGGAAATGAGGCCTTTACTAGAGATACCTGCTGCAATATACTTTCCCCAACTTTCTGCTTTCCTTCTAATTTTGGCTGCATTGGTTATTTTGGACAAAAGCTTTAAAATTTTATATTATCAAAATTATCTATTTCATATTTTGTAATGCTCTCTCTCTATTGTTTGGTCCTAAATTCTTCCCTTATCCATTGATTTGACAGATAAATAGATTAATTTAGGTAGAATTATCATTTTTATTTTATGAGTTTGGCCTACCTATGAGCAATTAATATTTTCCCAGTTGTTTAGATCTGACTTTATTTGTGTGAAAAGTGTTTTGTAATTGTGTTCGTATAGTTCCTGGATTTGTCTTGGCTGGTAGACTCCCAAGTTATTTCATATTATCTATAGTTATTTTAAATCGAATTTCTTGCTACTGGACTTTGTTGGTAATATATAGAAATGCTGATGATTTATGTGGATTTTGTATCCTATAACTTTATTAAGTTGTTAATTATTTCAACTAGTTTTTTAGTTGATTCTCTAAGTATACCATCATATTATCTGCAAAGAGTAAAAGTTTTATTTCCTCATTGCTATTCTAATTCCTTCAATTTTTTTTTCTTTTCTTCTTGCTATAGCTAGCATTTCTAGTACAATACTGAATAATAGTGGTGATAATGGGCATCCTTGCTTCACCCCTGATTGTACTGGGAAGGTGTCTAGCTTATCCCCATTACAGATAATGCTTGTTGATGGCTTTAGATAAATATTACTTATCATTTTAAGGTAAGCGCCATTTATTCCTCTGCTCTCTGGTGTTTTTAATAGGAATAGATGTATTTTATCAAAATTTTCTCTCCACTTACATGTTTATCCTTATTTCTCATGATATTAAAATTTAATATGCTATTCTCTTTTTTATTAACACTTAATCTAGCTTAATTATAGTTACTATTCTCCCTTATTCTGTGACTTTAAAGTCTTTAGGCCTGAAATTTTAGTTCCCTATTTTACTTTTGTAAGTCATCCACTACCCACTTTTTAGAAAAACTTACTTATGATAAAGGTCAAATGTATCTTATGAAGTGCTGATGCCAGATATTCCAAGCTGTGTAAAAATCCCCAAGTTGTATAAAATGCACATGCTCGAGGCTGTGGAAATCCCCTATTTTCTGGTTTTAGCCAATCATAACTCAATAACGCCCATACTGCTAAAAATAGATTGTGTCACTTTACAAAAAAAGAACACCCTTTACTATCAGGCGGGGTCCTTGGTTACCAAGGAGCCTTGGACCCTATTTATTGGTAATTGCAAGCTTCGCTAATAAACTGATTGTGTTAGGAAATTTGTTGCCTCATTTTCTTTGATTTGCAGATTTATATTGTGACATTCTGTAAAGTTTTAAAGTTGCATTCATACAATTCCTGTGTATATTGGTAGGTAGACTCCTAAATATTATACATTCTGTAATCATTTTGAATAGAATTTCTTTTAACATCTCTCACTGTTGAGTTTTGTTAATGACTGAAGATCTATGTAGGGTGTTTAAAAAAATAATCTTGCTACTTTGCTGAAGTTGTTTCAATTAATTTTTAATTGACACTCTGGTTTTCTATGTAAACCAGAGGTTTCCAAACTTATTTGGTCCACTGCCCCCTTTAAAAAAAGAAAAATTACTCAATGCCCCCCTGGGGTTAGGTTAGGTTAACCCCTGTTTTTATTCAAAGCCCCTGAATTGCACCTGAAGCTATTACTGCCCCCCCAGATCATTCCAGCACCCCCCAGGAGGCAGCATCACCCACTTTGAGAACTTATATTTGCAAACCATCATATTAACTATGAAAAGTGAAATTTTTTTCCTTCTTGTTTCTCCTATTATCCTATAATGTTTATTCCCTCTCTTTTTTTGTCTTATTGCTATAGCTACATTTTCTAGGAATATATTAAATCAGGACTATATAACCTGTGGCCTGCTTGTAGCATGCCAAAGAATTTCCTCTACACACAAAGGAAATTTTCCTCTATGTTTTTTCACCAGCCAGTCGAAATTCTTTGGCGTGCCACAAGCAACATGTAGGCTGCAGGCTGTGCGGGCTTGTATTAAATAAATGTAGTGACAATGGACATACTTGCTTTACTCTTGATCTTATTGGAAAGGTCTCTAGTTATCTACACTACACAGGCTCAATTTTAGCTAGTTACTATTTGCCAAATTCAGAAAAGATCTACTTAGTTCCATACTTGAGATAGATGCTGAACTATATTAAATTTTTTTTGCATCAATTGATATAACCATATGATTTTGATTGTTTTATTAAGATGATCTATTATGCTTATAGTTTTCCTAATACTGCACTCTTGCTTTCTTGGTAGAAATACTAGTCATAATGTACCATCTTTTTTTATGTTTTCTATAGTCTCTATGCGAATATTTCATTTAAAAAGTTTCACATCTATGCTTATTAGCATATACTGCTTCATAATTTCTTTCCATAATTCTTCTTTCCCCAGTTCAGGTACAAAGGCTACATATATCTCATAAAGGGAATTTAGTAAAATCTTCCTTTTCCTATTTCATTCAAGTTGTCATATTAGAAGAAATTCTTTAAATGTTTAACAGAATTCTCTTATAAATCCATGTAGTCTTGGTTTTTTCCCCCTTGGGAGTTCATTTATCACTTGTTCAATTGTTATTTTTCTAAGTTTGAGTTATTGAAATTCTTTATTCCTTGTTCTGCTAATTTGAGCATTTAGTATTTTATAGTCTTCCCTTTAAATTGTCAAATCTGTTAGCATAGAACTGGGCAAAGCAGTTTCTAATAACTTCCTTCTCTCTTTAATTTGTTGTGATTTCTTCTTTATTCATCTTTCATACTGGCAATTTGATTTTCACTTCCTTTAATGAGAAAAAAGGTCAGCTAATGAAAATTGACTAGCTAATAATTTATAGAAAAATATATAATTTTTAAAACAAATCAGCTTCTCGTTTTGTCCATTTAAGTTTGTTTTCGATTTTGTTAAATCTCTTTGATTTTAGAATGTCTACTCTGATGTTTAATTGGGTTTTATTTGGCTGGTTTTCTAGGTGTTTTCTTTTTAGTATCATACCCTATTGACTGAGCTGTTCTTTCTCCTTTTTTTGTTTTGCAATATAAAATTTCCCTGAAGGACTATTTGGGCTCTATCCCCAAAGTTCTGTTATACTGTCTCATTGTCCTTTTCTTTAATGAAATTTTTTATTGCTTCTCTGATTTATCCTGTTACTCATGAATCCTTTGAGATTAAGTTAGTCTCCAATTAATTTTTAATCCTTCCTTAAAAGATCCCTTACTGAATATAATTTTCATTTCATTGTGGTTAACAGTAAAGGATTTTCTCTTAGAAACTTTTATAGCCCAATACAATGGTTCTCAAACTTTTTGGTTTTAGAATCTCTTCATAAATCTTAAAAATTACTGCATATCCCCCCAAAAAGCTTTTGCTTATGTGGATATATCTATCAATTTTTACAGTATTAGAAATCAAAATTTGGTATTATTTTGAAAATAGTTCTGACCTTCTGTGGGTCCTGGGGAATCCAAGGTGTTGCT